CTATAATTTTCTTCCTTCTGCAGAGATTGGTATATAAACGAGACATATTTTGTCGAATGCCGTAGCACACTGTCCATTTATTTATACGATGTTCCCATCATCGTATTTTTTGCGATCCTTTTGTGTTAATATATTCAAAAATTTAAAGTGCTATTACGTAAATTACAGCATTATATGTTACATGAAGGGATTAAATTGAATCCAAATTCAAAATATTTACATTTCTTTTCACTCATATTTCTAGCAATTTTATTTTCATAGGGAAAGTTACCAAACACTGATGATATAATAAGATTGACAGTAATTTGTGTTCTATATTGTTAAGCAGAATACATAATGCAGCTCATCAGCGCTCCAGCGGTCGCTTAACACTGATAGTTCGACAGGGGCTCAAATCCCAGCAAACAAGCTGGTTGTAAGATAATTTACCGTATTTGACGGCATATAAGACGCCCTTTTTTTCCTAAATTTGGTCTCAAAAAGGTTACCTGCGTCTTATACGTGAAGGACACAGGTTAACTTTCAATACTGAATGGTATTTTTGGTCCGGATAAAGGTCTAGACACACATAAATTTTCCTACATCTTCATGTGTGTGGCCTTCTAAATAAGGGTGCGTCTTATATGCCGTCAAATACGGTAGTTATTTCTTCATGTGTAAGGTAAATACAATCAAGTTTCTTTTTCTCATACTTCGTGAAAACCTCCACGAAGGCATCCCTTCTCTTAGACAGTCAGTTCACGTGCTTTGCCATGATTCAAATAACCAAAGAAGAAATGAGGAGAAAATGCAGTAGATACTAGCTATTCAAGGGATAGAACAATTAATAATAGATGTAGAAGAGCATTTTTGAAATCATTTCTTGAGTATCAATTCCGGGGAGTTCTAAATCACCGAGAGTTCTTAAATGTTAAATAACTTCAGTGCCTTTAATTGAGTCTGAAAATTGGATTGATGGAGTTGAATTTTTTGAATTTTAAAATTTGCAATTTGCTAGGAAAGACGAATCTTCTGCTCAAGTGCTTGCAACAATTTTGAAAATTCAAAATTTGCGAATCTATGGGCGACGTGCGTGATTAATTACATCAAATGCTTCTAATAATTCTTCTAATAACTATTTTAGAGTTTAAAATAAAAACTCTAAAATTGCAGGGACTGTAAATAATCTAAAGATAATTTAGAAATACAACAAGATTTGACAGTTGAGGAAAATTGAAAAATACACTAATTATCATAAAAGATGAACAGAAAATAATTATAATGTAAGAAAGAAAAAATTTTCTCCTTTCTTTTTGTTTATTTTCACAATTTTAAAAAAATGATATAAATCTAAAATTTGGTTACTTAGGGAAATTGCTATAAATTAAGCATAAAACAAATCAGTGCGAGAATGGTTTTGCATACGAACTGAGACTGCAACACATTTCAACCAGTTTTAACCAGCTTCAGATGTTAAAATGTTCCATAATTAAGATCTTCTTCTTATTGTAAATGCACAAAGTTTAAATCTTGGCATAAAATTAAATAACTTGGGCATTTAAAGCCCGAATATTGAAAAACATCATAATTAAGAATTTTTAAATTTTTGCAATAGCATACGTACAACATAATGATCAACAATTGATTCAAGGCTTTCATACAAATACAATAATCCGAATGAAATGTAAAAGATTATTACTATTCTAATTTATATTGAAAGTTGTTACGCGACCTTGAAAAATCAATATTATAATTTATAAAGCAGACATGTAACTGAAATTATTAAATTCCACAAAAAATGCAAATATAATGAGACTTTTCTAATGCGACCATTAACGGCGGCTTCAAGCAATGTTTAGGCCACTTATATAGATGGTTGCATTAGAAAGGCAAATGTATAACAGCCTGTTTATTTATGTTGTAGGAAACACTTTTAGAGTTCGCCGTCATGAGATTCTCTGTACTTATATGTAAAACAGTTACAAATAATACGTCTTACTAAAACGATCTGACATATTTAGGCTTCTAAAATGATGTCAAAAATTTTAAAAAGGAAATCTAACAGAAAAAAAATCCTGATTTGGTTAATTTAAAGCAGTTAACACAGTTTATGATAAATAAAACATTAATTAAAGCATCACAGGCTTCAGTATGAGAAAAGATTAGCATGATCATCAAATCAGATTATTTAGGTTATGGCAAAGTATCATAAGATTATCTGCCGAAGTGGATATGGATGCCTTCATGGAGGACTGTTTATAGCGAGGAGTTGATACAAAAATTATTTCATACGTCTGATAGAAACTGACTCGTATTTATGTTACACATGGAGAAAACCACGAAAATTTCCTGGTAAGCAGCACATCCGCCATGGTTTGAACGCCAGTCGAACTACCAATATTCAACGATTTTTACCTCTCGGCTGCTAGTGGTCGAAGGTCATTTAAGTTATTCTCTGAATTTCAAAGTTATCGGTCTATGCTTTATTACACGATTATTCATGCTCAGATTTTTGGAAACTAGAGATAAATTAAAAACTGGAATTCTAGGTAACCAAGTTAAATAATTAAATTTATTTAATTTTCCGTTTTGATACGTTTTACGTTAGGAATACGAAAAGCTCCCACGTATGATTTATTTGGAGAGTAGAATGAATAAGTTTCTTTAATTTGGTTTGGTTTACTTGACTATAACAAAGCGCACGAAAGTTATCTGCCTAAGAGAAGGGTTGCCTTCGTGGAGGGCTTCCTAAGGAAAACTAGCTCGTAACCACGTTATATAGGGGAAAAAACCACGAAAAGCTGCTTTGCTAGGAATCGAACCCAGATCTAACAACCAGGGTATTCAGCAACTTAACCGCTCGGCCGCTTTTAAGTTTCCATAAGCTTTACACGTAATTGTAATTAATATAACTACTATGAGTAAAAATCCTTTTCTAAGATATCCATCCATGTTTCAGCCTATCAGCGGCCTGAGCGGTAAAGACGCTGAACACTGGTAGTTCGGTCCGAGGTTCCAATCCCGCGAACGGGCTGGCTGCATGGGCACTTTCGTGGTTTTTCCCATGTGTAATATGTATACGAGCCAGTTTCCCTTAGAACGTTTTCCAAGAAGGCATCCCTCCCTTTAGGTAGATAGCCCTCGTGCGCTTTGCCATAATTGAATAATCCTAATCCATCCATGTTTCTAGTTGATTTTTGGTATTCTGTGAAGATCACCCTAAAAAGATGATATTCAGTGAGAGTGTTTGTTTATCTATAGAAATGCCTGTCACCTTTTGGAAGTGATCGTCTTAGGGAGATGGTCGTCAAATCGTTTATGGGCTACTAGATGGTACTGGCTCTGATTGGTGCATTGTAAAATGTATTAAATCCTCTCTAAGACGATCATCCACGTTTCTAATTATTTTGGTCTTTGGTGGAAGTGGTCGTCTTAAAGAGATAATGCTCGGCACAAGTGTTAATTTCTACTCTGGGAAATTCTTTTGGAAGAGTTCGCCATAAGAGGGTTCATTGCATATTAAATGTTTAAATCTAGATCACGAGGTTATAGGATCCATTTTAATTAGATTTTAAAATTTTAGTAAAAAAAATCTGAAAGGTTTCAGATTTAAATTACGTCCAAAGGGGCCTTTTTTTAATATTTTGTGTGTGTTACCTTTATTTATTAAATATCATGTTCTTCGCACTTAAACCATAAAATTCAGTTCAAGAGCAGTATCGCAAAATAATTTTAAATTGAGCACATTTTTAGAATTTCCGATTCACAGTCTCACGCGCTGGAGATAAAAATGTTTTTTCTGTCCAACGTTGCCATGGCTCGCTTTGAAATTCTTGAGTTTTTTAATCAAAAATTCGTTAACGTTTTACAAAATATAAAATCGATAATAAAACAAATTCCAAATTTCAAATTTGGGCTTCCAGTTGCCCATATTCGCAGTAGGATTACGTCATTCGAAACTCGATGGCTCTAGGTACCGTTGTTTTATCACAATATTTGGTGGCAACAGTTTGAAAAGTGAAACGGACATTCAGATTAATTCGACGCAAAATCGCAAAATCAAAACAATAGTCCCTCAGGGACTAATAATTTTGAAATAAACCTCTTAATTTTAATAACTGTGGTATTCTTGTTTTCAAACTTAAGTGCAAAATTAAACAATTTTTTCCTGTGCAGATACGTTACTTTTAATTAAAATCAAATGAGAAAAAAAAAAATATGCGAAAATTAATTAGCTAAAAAATTTAGTACTATTCTTATCGCAAACCGTAACTTGAAATTGCATCTACAACTGTTTCTTATACCAAAGCTCAGGATGAATTCGTTTTCTGTTATGCGTCAATCAATGTTTCACTAAACCGCAGCTTAAGGCTATAACTACATGCGGTACGAGCAGAGTAATTACTAAAGACCTGACAATGACCGATGCTGGACAACCCGCCTTCCCCGCTGGCTTCCATCGCGAAAGCTGCTCCCGCTAAACACCCCTCTATTTTTAACCTTAAGGGAGAAAACAGCAGCTAAGAAATCTTCTTGCTTCTACTCGCACATGTTTCCGGTAATCCGAAGTTACGGTTGTTGAGTTAAAACTTTTATCACCCAGCTTGGCGATCTTTCTAAATATGCCTTATATTTCCCATTGCAAACGAAGGGTGACATTCCCCGTTCCTTATTTTCCGGGGACATTCTTTCCGTTTCCTTTTTTTCGGGGTGACATTTTTTCCTACAATCGATATTGGAGGCGATTTTATTTTTTAAAAAAGTTGAGTAACTAAACATTTAAAAGATATAAAACATAATTAGCTATCTTAAATTATTTTAAGTAAATGACGAAGCCTTCTTAACAGTTTCACTTGTCACGAATTTTGAACGCTTTGGAACTTGTTGGTACAATGTGCAGTTTAAGCATGTTATATTTGTCACAATTTTTATGTTATTTTACCTGAATAGAGTGCATTTTTAAATGTAAACTGAGTGGAGATTTGTTTCTATTTTCATAACTTTCCCACTTTTTGTTTTAGAAAATGGTACCTTGGCTGTCTTACGTCAGTATTATTTGCGTCATAACGTTTGTGATAATGTTTGCTGTTGGTCCAGGTAAGAATCTTCATAAAATTAGAACGTTACGTAAAAAGAATTAAAGAGTACTAATCGGGGAAAATATTGTGATAGTAATCCTTTACGAACAAAAATATTATGCTTTTTATAAAATATTTCATGTTAGAATTTTAGTAGCTAAGCATGAAAATGAAATTTTATTAGCATCTCATATAGCTTTTAGTTGTGAAATAAGAATATATTGCTGTACTGTTTTACAATGTTTAGTTGCATGAAACAGAAAGATTAAGGGTCCAAAACTTAATCAAAGGATTAAGGGTCTCCTTTGTTTCTTTTAAATTTTTAAAGATGTAGGCATAAATGATCAACTGACTAAAAGCAATGAATCATTGTCGGAAGACTGGAAATTTTAGCAAATCTTTCAGAAATATACCAGAAAAGAAAAAATAAATATCTATAAAACCTTATGGTATAATACGTGTGTAAAAGCTTATCATTTATTTTGAAAAGAAGGCTTAATATTTTTACGGCTGACGTGCATATGCATTTTGCATCAGTGTTACAGTTCCTCCCCCCCCCTTTTTTTTTTTTTCAAAAAGTTTCATTTGTCGTTTTTATGCAAAATCTTCCATTAGTATTCCATTTTTAGCTACATCACTCTAAACATGTTTTGTATTTTCTCCAATATCTAACTACAGAAATTATGCATATTACTATTTCTTAACATACTTTCCGACGTTCAAGTTGAAGTGTCAGATAAGTAGACCTCGATATTTTAATTAAATGCCCAATAATAATAGGCATAGCAAGAGCTTGAAAATTCTATGGAACAGTGGATCTTAGAACATCGTTAAAACGGGTACATTGTCACGCACAATGCAATATCTATTAGTGTTTCATAGGATACATTTAATTTGAATATTAAAGATTTTAAAGTTAAACAGAATTTGTGTTTGACCTAAATACTGTTCTAAATTTACAGATACTTAATCAGACGAAATTTTTCCGTCATTATTTAATATTAAAAATAAAATAAATACAGTAAGAGTAAATACAGCAGAAATTATACAACTAAAAATTTATTTTTGTTCTCAACTTGAACTACAGAACTAAACTAGCACATACAAATTTCTTCCCCTTCTCCCGGGAATCTCAAATAACAATGAGTTCAAAAGTTCAAGCTTAGGCCTTGCTTGTGAAATTGCACGAGTCCTATTTAATATTCAGTGGAAAAAAAAACTTATGAATTGACAGGAATATCTCTTATGCTATACAGGAACATTTTGGCTGTTACTACGGCTAGCTGAAGCTCTTAATTCTCTCTCTTAGATTCTTACTTTTAATTTCTCAGAAGTTTTTTTTTTTTTTTCTTATTAATATTTTGGTGGAATAGACGAAATAGTAGGAATATGGGACAGATTACACTATTAAGTTGACGTTACATTTTATATAATGCAGACGCGTATAAGCTAGTATGACATGCAAATTAAAGTAAACATTATACGATTTATTGACTCAGTCGGTTTTTGAAAAAAAAAGCGACGACGATGCAGCGAGAGATAATCAGAATAAAATAAATGAACATTTTATTTCAGATGATGACGACAGAACTCATATGTGCGTTAATGACTTTTTAAGAAATTTTTAAAATAAATAAAAGAAAAAAAAAGTTTCATTTGCTTAAAATTATTTTTTACATTGTTCTGGTAGCACACATTATCTCCATTTTTTATTGTTTACCTTTATAAAATTCGTACTGAATTATGATATCCACCATTGAAGGATTGGCTGAGAAGATTAAACACTAAGCAGCTCAACCCGAATTCCAATCCTGAAGAACAAACTGGCTGTGTGGATGTTTTCTTAGATTTGGCGATATATTTTGACAGCACGTAAATAAACCAGTTTCTATTAGAAAATCCTCCACGAAGGTATCCCTTTCCATAGGCACTGCCTCCATGTGCATTGCTATATTCAATGAACGAACAATCATGGAATATTAACTTTTATTTATCATGGAATATTAACTTTTTATTGTTTTTATTTTTATTTATAAGGAAAAGTTTTTTAACTTAGTATTTTGTTTGGAAGGATAAATGCATAACTGATTTTTTTTCGATATAGTCATTAATTTTGTTAGTAAATATAAACAGAAAAGCTTGTTAGTTTTAATACCTTGTATATAAATCGATCAGACTTTTTGGGAAGGGGCGGTATTTGTTTGGTTTGAAACACGGACTTTGCAAAATACGATATTCATCGAATTATGTATTTAAGATAATTTTTCTGAGATATGCATTATTTATTTTTGTAAAATTTTTGTTTTTCTTGAATAACAACCATCGAAAAGACATTCTCTCAAAGCATGCATCAAAATAAAAATTCTTTCAGTAAAGTGCCGCAGCTTGAACTATGATGGCATTAAACAGGTCAAACACAAACATTTCGAATTTCAACAACTAACTTCTATTCTAAGATCTGAAGTTAATTCGAATTGTTCTGTCCAGCCTTCTAAGGGGAATCACAAAAAAATTTTCCCGATAAATGAATCCCTAGCGGCCTATCTGCTCAGTCAATCGAAATGAAATTTCAAATCTTGTTATTTGAAAGTTTGCACTCCAGCATTGTGGTTATTTAAAACCACAGAGCTCTCACGGTTGCAGTTACAGTGAAAAAATTTCGAAATTTTCGAATAACAGCACCAAATGTTTTTCCTGCTCAAATTATCAGTGCATTGATCGAATGTAAGTGGCGTTGGAACACGTATGATGAAACTTGCTAGCGTAAATCATTTGCAAATAAGAGCATTGTGAAAGACCAATGACCACACAAGACAGGACAGGAAAAACTTTTAATTCTGACAAATCTCTTGGACCTGATACGCATACCTTAGATTTCAGATAACCCCAGAATCAGAAATCCCTAGGAGTGAAGTAGCAGTATCGCAGTTTCCACAAACCTGCAAAATTATGGGAGATGGCTCTACATCCAAAGTACTTGCCGAACACACGACGTGTGAAGGAGCACCATCTTGTATTCATACAATGTCATTAACGACACTTCGCTGCTGCAGTTCTGGAATTGCGTAACTCTGCAATGTTGCTGTATGCCAAGCACTTGTAATGGAGCATGTTTTTATAGCGGTAGACATAACCGCTTCAAAGAAGTACGCACAGAGAGCAAATGTGCTTGTGATGCCGCACTGCAGAGTGACTTTAACTTCGTGTAAAGTCGCTGTAGCCACATCGTGAGGACTTCCGTTTGCCTAGCGAAAACCTACGTGGAGCTTACGTTCCCGGTTAAAGAGAAATTCGCCTCTTCCATCCATAATATCCTCAGTGGCCACCTGCTGCCTTCGTTATATCTGATGAGAAAAAAATCTGATGAGAAAAAAAAAATTCTCTTATTTATTAAAAAAAAGTCGACACGCTGTTCGTCTTCAGGTTGCAACGTCTGGACGCGCTAGAATCGATAAGGAAACATCCACAGACCAGAGCGCACAAGCTTGAGAACTCAGGTCTTAAGTTACATCCAAACTGCGAACAACATTTCTTGCAGTATGCAATGGGCCTACAGTAATTGTGTTTTGCACCTCCGCAAAAACATCAACAGGAACACATGGTCGTCCAGATCGCGGTCTATAACATTCCCATTTAGTTTTTTCAAATTTTTTTTATCAAATCACATATAGTTTTTACGGAACATGGCCTCGTCTTAACTTATAATTTCGCCAATAAACTCGTATTGCTTCGGCAGCATTTTCCCCGTTCAGATAAAGCAGCTTTATAATTTCACCTCGTTGTTTCCCTATAAGTATCATTTTGCTAGCCTGCTATCTTCGAGTAATTCTTTTGCATAAGGTGTTCTGGGACTGGCGCGTCTACGGTCTCTGCCTGTGAATTATGCAAAGCACGTCAATGCACCTCCTTTCCTATTTGTCATCGGTCCTTTACAATGCTCTCCTTTGTAAAGACTTTACCCTAGCAATTTTCGTCACATATGTTTCGTTACAATGCCATTTATGGTTTTTAATGCGCGGATCAATTTGTGCAAGAAAAACGTTGGTGTTGTCAACCGAAAAAAAAGTTTGAAATGTTTTCACTGTAACCCTAACCATGAGAGCTCTTTTGTTGAAAATCGTCACAGTCGTGAGCGCATACGTTCAAATAATAATATCTGAAATTTCATTTCGATTGGTTGAGCAGATAGGCCGCTAGGGCAGCTCGGCTGGTTCATATATCGAAGAAATATTTTTATGACCAACCTGTACTTCTAGCTGATCCTGGGGTAATTCGCTCTATCCGCTCTGCTGGCTGTTTCAAACAAAAGTAGCATAAGTAAAATGGCAGTAAATTTGAAAAAACTTGGAGAACTGTAACAACATAATTTCAGCGTTAACTTTAGAATTTTTCCAAGTTCTGTTAGCGTATAGTGGCAAAAAGACATTTAAAGTTTCTTTTATTTGCAGGCTCCATCCCTTGGTTCCTTGTAACAGAACTGTTTGGCCAAGGAGCACGTCCTATAGCTACAAGCATTGCTGTTACCGTCAACTGGAGCGCAAATTTTGTAGTGGGATTGGGATTTTTGCCTATTCAAGTAAGAACCACTTTTATTTTGACAGCTCATACTTCCATGGTTAAATAACTGAACATTAAATATTAAGTGTTCATTGTAAAAAAAAAACTCCTAGTATTCGAGTTTTATTCTTCATTCGGTAATACTAATTGTGCATAAACTTCTTGCAAATTCAGGAGCATTGAAGAAACTAAATGCTAATTAATTTACAAATTTATTTTGAATCGTATCGATATCTATTAAGTAACTTTAATAACTTGATATCGTTGTAAGAAGTAGAACTTGTTTTTTGCAGTGTTTTCAAGTATGCTCAGCCGCACAGACAGTATAGTGATCAGGGGAGCCGACTGCGATACAAAAGGACCCAGGTTCGAATCCTGGAGAAGACATGGTTGTAGCTGTCCTTCCCTTCACTGGAGGCAAAAATGCACCACCTATTAGGTGCCTCCATAATAAAGTGATCACCACTTTTGGCCTTAGTAGTAGCCAAGCCGAAGTCGGCTGAGGGATAGCCATTGGAGGGGGGAGTATGCTTATGTGCCAGAAAAACTGAGACGGCCGCTCTTTATTTTCAGTGTATGCCATCCCACCTCCATTAGTAAATGTTACCTTCTGCAATTGAAGTACATATGTGAGAAAATATCTTGGCAGTCCATTCTAAAGTAACCAATAGCGGCATATCATGATATAACTACTTCTGAAAAAGGCTTCATAATAGGTGTCGCAAAGTTAGATTACACTAGCTCTATTAACAATGCTATTTTCCCCCATAGTAGGATCATGGAATGCACCGCAAACACAAAAGCTCACGGAAAAAGCAAGCACCAAAAGGGGAAAGTAAAAAGGTCTGTAGAAGAAAACTCGCATTCATTTGTACTTACAAGAATCAGTTCTCCGTGACATTATCACCTTCAAAGGAGTTCTCTTCAGCATTCATACACTTCTGCATTCAGTGCTGCCATTGCTGGTAACAGTTCTGGAACGAGGTTTTTGGAAGGCCCTTCAGGAGATTCTCCGTTTTAGCCTGAACCTACTCAACTGAGGTGAAATTTGATTCCCTTAAATTAAGATTTAACTTTAGGAAATAAAAAAAAGTGTCGCATGGAGCCAAATCAGGTGAATAACGAGGATGCCGGCAGCACAGTAATGTTTTTGCTGGTCAGAAACTGCTTACAGATAGGGCCGTGTGAGCGGGTGCATTGTCCTGGTGCAACAACCATCCATAACTCCACAACTTTGGTCTTTTTTTTCCTATTTTTTTACGAAGTCTTTTTAGTACTTCAGTGTCAAATATTGATTAACAGTCTGACCAATGAGAACCCATTCATTCATGATGAACGTGTTTTGGGTGGCCAGCACGTTCGTCATCTTCTACGCTGTCCCTTCCTCCCGAAAACCCCTTATGCCATTCAAACACACTTGTATGAGACAAAGTTTCATCTCCATTAGCCTCGGTTAACATTTCAAATGTTTCCCCCGTGGTGATTAAGTTTCACAAGAAACTTGATGTTGATTCGCTGTTCTGTTTGTTCGGTTTTTACATTAGACATTTTTCTGGCAGAATGCAGTTGCACGTGTTCACTCAATGATGAAGTACTCCCCACTGGCGTGGTCGGTTAAGTCGAAACTGGTCGCATGGATAGAGGAGATGTGTGGCATGACGTCACCAAAACAGTTGTTGCCAACTCACAAAACAGTTGTCTGTTTTCAAGCTACACACTCAGTCTCTTTTTGTGTGTGTGTGTGTGTCACACCTCGTATATCCGTATACGAAAATGGCCACATAGAAAAAAAAAGTCAGTATGCATGAAAGACCGCAAGGATAAAAGCTACACGAATATGTGATCACATGGGAAAATGCGTATACCGAATTAATCAGTATTACATAACATATATATTTTGAACAGTGCATTTGTGAGTGCTGTAAGTGATATTGTTTTGACAATAAGGTATAATTCAGGTATAATATATAATAAGGTATAAGGTTTAGACAATAAGGTATAGAAATTCACTAATTACGAACTTAACGTACTTTTACATAACGCAGGGTCACTTGTAAAATTAATGCCATTTAAATCTGACATTTGATTATTTTGTGATTTGTTGAATAAATAAAACAGCGGTTCTCAACCTTTTGACTAACGCGTACCATCTAAACAAAAATTTAAAAACTTTAGTACCACCACTACATTTTGCAATGATTATTTTTCAATGTGTCAATAGAAGTATTAAAAAAATATATTTTGTCATTTGCGCAACTTATTGGCTATATTAATTGTGCACACATAAAAAATATTAGATTAAAAATTGGTTACTATTTTAATTATAAAAATTTAAGTTACAATACTTTAATTCTAAAATTTAGTGTGAAATTTAGGCCTGCTTAAGAGAGATCAATTTCTTTATGTCTGCTTATTTTACTTAACTTTAACTGTAAATTAAGATCCAATCTTAATTTTGTTCCGTATTTCTTTTTCAAATAAAACGTGGAAGTACTTGTTCACACAAATAGGTTGTGCAAAAAGGCAATAAAAATTTAACAGCTCTATTTGAAACGCCTTTAAATTCTTTTTTTGGATTTAACAAAAGTTAACAAGTGTGTTACACAACTTACACAATCTTCAGTTAGAGTTCTATCACAAGAAATTTTTATCAGTTGTTCTTTTTCTTCACGATATTTTTGAATTTAATAGTTAAAAATACTTTGTTTCTTTGCGTACCACCTATTTTTCTCTTGCGTTAAAATTCTTAACTTCAATATTTTGAATGTTTTAAATATTTATGATATACCAGGTGATCCAAAATTAATAGGAAAAAGAAAGAATTCAATGATTGGAAAAGTACAGACGCATGATGATGTTTTCATTAAAATGTAAAAAAAAAACCTGGAGTTTTTTAATTTATATACATAAAGGTTAGTCATAAAAAAACATCCCCGGTATATGAACCCCTAAAGGCCTATCCGCTCAACCAGTCTAAATTAAATTTTAGTTATTTTTATTTGAAGATATGCGCTCGAGATTATGATTATTATATATATATATAGAGAGAGAGAGAGATTTAAAATTTTAAAGATTTTTATTGCCAGAATAGTTGTATATGTTTTACATTGACAGGTGATGGTTTAGTTATTTCAGAAGTTCGTAAAGGGACCTACATAATTTGCAACGAAGCTAAGATTGCAAGGGTTCAGCGAGACGGCCATCATTCAAGGGAATGGCTGTCAGGCATGGTATATGATACTGAGGATGTTCTCTTTAAAAATTAACATACAGCTGGACAAACTTACAGTCTCCCTTATAAGATTCCCAAGGCCTTGGCTAAAGATAGACGCTCTCTCTTCCTCTTGTGATAAACCCATACATTGGACATATCGCAAATTTTTCATTAAAATTTTCTACTCTCAAAATTTTATTTTTTATTTCTTTTTTTATATATTTTTAACTATATGAAGTTTGCTGCTTATTGTTTAAAAAGGATTTAATACTTTTTTCCTCTTTTTTTAGAATGTGATGGGTGTTTATACCTTCTTTATATTTACTGCACTTCTGGCACTGTTCTGGATTTTCACGTATAAATACGTTCCTGAAACTAAAAATAAAACAGTAGAAGAAATAACAGCCATCTTCCGTCAAAAAGCTTATCAATGAAGGAGACAGACTGTTTAAGACTTACATTAATCGTATGTATAAGGTGGCGTTAATCTACAGCAAGGACAGGAGGGTGGCAGGAACGTGATGATTATGATTCACATAAGCTTTTGTTATAAGAAAATATATCTAATATCCTGTCCCAAGAAATTAATGTAACAAGTGACATTTTATAGGCAAAATATCATAGCAATTTCTTAGTCAATGCATGTTGTAAAATGAATTACGAACAAAAAATATATTCATCACAAAAGTAAAATTATTATTTTTCAATCGGACTTCAGAGGCTTAATGTAATGAATGAGACTATATGTATTGAATGGAATAAGAATATATAATGTATATATATATATATATATATATATGCAATATATATCTATATCTAATCTATATCTATATATATATAGATATAGATATCTGCATATGCACGCATACATAAACATATACGTGTGCAGTGCATATATATAAAGAGAGATATAGATATAGATATATATACATGCATATATATATATAGCGATATACATGTATAATGTACAAGAGTTGATACATAAGTATGCATGTTTTTTTTTAGTATGTGTGTGCGTATATATACATATAGAGAGAGAGATTGAGATATGTAAAAGTATTTTTTACTTGTGGTGCTCTTTTAGAAATGAACAGACGGTTGAATATCATAATACCTCCACCTTTATTGTACATAAACTACATGGTTAATGTGTTTTTTTTTCTTTTTTTTCAGTTTAGTAAATGCTGTTATTTTTATTTGAAAAAAAAAATTATGAATATTTATATCATCTGTTGTTTCTTGCTTTTGTGGTGCTAAGTATGTTATTTTATCTAATTCATATAATGTATATAGATGGTAATACTGAAATATATTTCCGCAGTTATTTTTAATCCTGGTCTTCATAGAAGGAAATTTGTATGAGAAAAGATTATGCAATTCTGTTTATGACAATATTCCATGATTGTGTATTTAATGTTCCACAAAAGGCCAAAAAAAGTGTCTTTCAGAAATTATACTAAAAATAAATAAGATCGACTGGAGTTTTTTTCCATATATTTAATGTGATAAATCGTGGCATTATTTCAAATGAATTAATTAATTTTTACACAATCATTAATTTACCAGTTTTATATACTGAAAAATATGTATGCAAACACATTATACGATGCCTTCATCAAAATAGCAGTATAATAAAAACAAAAACAATTATTTTTAATATATTTGTGAATAAGATATATGTGATAGTGAGACCGAGCCTTAAACACAGTAGCCTGCATATAAAGCAAATAATTAATAATATCGGCTACCAAGCTCTGTTTATATTACTGGTATAAGATCGTAACTAAGTTTTGTAATGTAGAAAAAAGAAATTTTTCCAATTAATAAGTATAAAGTTAATGTCGTTGGAAAAAAAGAAAAGAGAGATTTAGTGATAAAATATAAAGAAATAGTTTAAAGTTTGTTATTAAAAATAAAACCTTTTTTTATTATGATATTTTCATAGAAGGAAATTTATGTATATAAATGTAATTTTAAATATGTATATATGTCACCTACAATTAAATAATATCATATATCTTAAATTAATAACAGTTCAAATTTTAATGCATTTTTTTATTTTCTTAAAATTTCCATCTTACTAAGAAATTAATACTTCGCAACCTTGTTGCTAAAGATATAATTATTTTTTGTTTTACAACAAAATCGATTCATTCATCATGTTTCAGATTGTTTTACAATAAAATCGATTATCTGAAATTACTTTTAGCTCAACTGAGATATTACATGGCATTAAAAATGTATACTATGAGAACAAATCAAAAAATAATTTCAGAACTCTTAGATGTATAAAAATTTGGATTAATTGCAAGGAATCCTTCGTCGCTTCTTTTATTGGGCAAAACTTTATTCCTCCCTGTTCTTAATTTCCTCCCAACTGCACTAATCAAAATGTATCTGAAAAATATACTGAATATAAAGATTAGAGAGAATAACATCAGGTACATTTTTAGGATTTATTTCCATTCATTGCTATGTTAAAGTTTTGTGATAAATCTCAAGAATATTAATTTCAGGAAAGCATAATTTAATAGACTAATTGAATAATAGACTAAATTATGTAGTTCATACCTATTTGATACTTACCTATTACTTTTAAAGTTACAATATTTTGAAATTTTTGGTTACTCAAATATACTTAAAATAATGTGAAAGCAAGAGAAATAAGGATGAGTGATTTTAATCATTCGACATCACGGAGAGAAACCTTACATTCTTTGACAGAAAGAGAAACCAAACTACGAATTTTGTAGCTTATGCTTGCAAAATTCGTGCAACAAATATTATCATTACATTAATACAAGTTAATTTTTCTTGTAGTTATATTAAGTTATTGTGATATATGTTGTTATGATTATACATTAATTTATCTGCGGTTATTGAAAAATTATATTCATGCATATTTACAAAAATTATATTTCTTTCAAGCAACACACAACAAGCCCTCTTATTAAAACTTAAAAATGAATGTACGGTAATAAAATCTGATAATAACTCTAAAATTAGCAATTGCTTTGCATGTACATATTGTTTTTATACTTCGTTTCACATACATACATATCATAAGCATTTTTTTTCTCTTTTGAAGTACGATTAAAATATTCTATCTTAATATTGTCAAATACGTGAAGCAAAGGATAGAAAAACGTTTGTACAAGACTGTTTATCCCTTACCGTTATACTCATATTCAAAAGAAAAAAAAAAGAAATATCACTAATATTTCCAAAGTAGAATAATAAATCTCATTTAAGAAATGATTAAACTGCTAATTTTATTTTTTATGAATGACTGCACAACAAGATGATAAGGTGTGTGTGTGTAATTATGGCAAAGCCTCGAGGGCTATCTGCCTAAGGGGAGGGATGCCTTCGTGGGGGACTTTCTAAGGGCAACTGGCTCGTATACACGTTACGCATGGGGAAAGCCACGAAGGCGCCCATGCGGCCGGCCCGTTCGCGGGATTCGAACCTCGGACCGAACTACTAGTGTTCGGCGACTTTACCGCTCGGCTGCTGGTGGGCCCAAGATGATAAGGAAAAATATGTTTGTTGCCTTACTTGAATTATAACATTACTTTCTGAAGCATCGAAGTTAAAACATAAATTTTAACTGTGCACTAAATTTAATTTACTCATTTGTGTATATACCGTGTTCAATAAAAATCATTTTTTACTTACATAATATTTATTACAGACTCTAAAAGAGTCATACTAGCGCTGTTTAACACAATCCCGATCTAGTTCAGTACACAAAGCCAATACACCCGTTTAACAAGCGCATAGATACCGTGGGAAATTAATTATTTTTGACGGGTGCACAGAAACTTAAAATCCGCCGATCGAAATTCATTCTTATCCTGAAACTTCGTTTCACGCAACCTCAGTAAATAGACAAGCTTATGCTCGTTCAAGATAAAAATCTCTTTACGACGTTCGAGATAGTGGCGTATTTTATCTGTCTGCTGAGACTTAACTAGTTAAGGACGTCGACGTCAAAATGCTAGTTGGTTTTGGTCCAGAAGAGCAAACCCTTGTAGTATAAGGTATTTTTTCCCTTCTTCCAGCATTTACTGTGTATTTCTTAAATTCACTAGTTTTATTCACATTCTACATTCATTTTATGACTCCCACTTAGTCACGCCTTTACCGGGCCGGTTACTTGCTAGTGAGCTCTTGCGTTGCTGGACTTCCTATTCTTTATCCGTCTTTCTCCTCCTTACTGCGGACATTATGTGAAGATAGTTCTATGTTATTGTGCCCATCCGGCATAAATTTGATTGAGCCAGATAAACTACTGATCTCAGTGGTATTCTGGCTATCAGTCAGTCAGTCAGTCCAGCATGCCTTCGTGGTGTAAAGGTAGTATACTGCGCGCGTATTCGAGAGGTCCAAGCACAGAACATGTATGTAAAGAAGGAAAGGTTCCATAGACGTAATGTAAACCAATTTGACTACTGCGCCGCTATATCGCGGAGGGAGATATTCTCGTCGCCAAATCCTTAGATGTACAAAAAATTGAGGCCTACGGTACAAATTTAAAGAACTTATAGTATTCGTTCTGAGATAAAACTTTTCTTTGACTTTTGGAAGTGATGAGCAGTTAGGTGAAGTTTCACTTTCACTTGCTGTTAACTGAACTATATCGCAGTTTGATCATTGATTTTCCTTCCAGCATACCTTCGGGAAGTAAAGGTAGCACACTCGGACGTATTCAAGAGGTTTAAGTTCGAGTCTCGGTGACAGCATTGCACATTTTTCACGTCTCCTGCTTCAAAGAAACCAAATGGCATTACAGTAGTACCTTGTAATAGTAGGAATCTTTTTTGGTTTCACTCAGAAAAGTACACTGCTCTCATCTCTAATGATGATGCAAAAATGCATTACCACTAGCTTCATAGCGAAGAAGCCGTTAGCAAGCATCAGCTCGTCTTTCATTTGTCAAGTACTTGCGCACCCACCTTACACACAGTTTGAGAAACTTCAGCTCCTCATAACCGACATGATGAGCTAATCCGACGCTAATGCTCAATAGGGATGTGCCGGTGTTGTTTTCCATGACTGCGGACCTGGGCGGGGTGAAACTTTTGGTCCATTCATATACTTATATACTACTGTCACTGTATTGAATTCTCATCAGAGGATGAACTCGTACAGGTTTTCAAGTCTTTGCTTAACAAAAATTTTACACAACTTCACTGGTGTTGCTCGATGGATAGTTGAAACGGCATCACGAGCTTGTCGAATGGCAGTTGTGTTAACGCCATCTATTGATAATTCAACGTCACTCACCGTCATGCATCATTCCGATTACCACATCAATCAGTGGTTCACGCGATTTTAGTGCAACTTCTCCTACTGAACGGCCTAATATAATGAAAAAATCTAGTCTATACTATGCTACAGATAAAAAAAAAATTCAGTTTTTTTATTAACTCTTCATATAACCATAATTAAAGGAAAATGACTCACTCATTCAACGTGGATTTCAATAGCTCCGATCATAATTCTAATGCTAAGTTTTACTTGCGCATGTGAAACTTTCAGACAATCTGATTCATTTTTCTCTTCATTTAAGATCTGCATAATCTTGTTTCATAAAAATATTACACTATATGCGATTTTGTTTGCATAAAATCAATCACATAACTACATAAAATCATTCATAAATACCTGAAGTACAATATTTTATGAAAATCAAAGTGTAATTAACTTCAAAAATAATGGCAGATGTTATATGCCTAAATAATCACAGTGCATCGAGATCAAAACAAGCGAGGAAAAAAGTAATAAAACAATTCCCCATAATTTTCATGGAAATTTTAATATTAGCATATATATAAACATTATGTCAAATAAATTTTTCGATTTCTATCTGACGTTTTCTACGCTTTGATATATGCAGTGTAAATTTGCAGTTTTACGGTAATCTTAAAATATGTAGAGAACGAAGTTCAAAGCTGAGGTTTTGCAGTTAAGTATTTTAAAAAACACCTATGATTTAATTAAAAATCACAGGGATTGTGTCATTTGAACAATATGAGTTAAGTTTGAGTATTAGTGTAGGCAGTGATGGACATGTACCTATTTGTATTCCAAAAATTGGAACACACAATAGCTAGGCTTTTACTATCTTTTCCGTTTGCAAGCTTCAGATAAAGAAGCAAACAGAGAATTGTTAATGCAAGTATTAACAGTCAGATATACAGAATCATATTACTGGATGATCGCAATGAAAAGAAAGCATCTGTTGTAAATCACTATACAGTTTGTGCCAAAACTTTGCTTGTAGTCATGGATACTTCAAATATAAATAGTTCCATTTCTGTTATGGATTAATATATGAACCTGATTTTGTACTTATAAGTCGATATATTTTGAAACACCGCTCATGATTTTAACTTTTATAACACAAATTCATTTGCTGTAAACATTGCAATTAACTTACTACTATTTCAAAAGATGAAGCATGTAACAACTCTTTGAATAAACATCAATTATATCCTTCTTCTC